GAAATATCTAATTTGATAAGAATCACTATATAAATTATCTTCCCTTATGCTGATAGAAGCATGGCATTATTCGTTCATTTTTTAATAATTTTATCTGCAAAAAATCAAAAATTATCAAAAATGTGAAACAAACTTCAATATACTACCATTTCACTAACATTGCGACATTGACCATGGAATAATGTTAAGTTTAGTCTGTCATAATATGTGAGGTTCCTCATTCACACATACATACAAACTGACAGCATAACACAAAACAATATGCAACCAACCAAATTCAATACAATATACAACTTTCACCGCCTGTGCATACCACACTGTTAACGAATCTCTAAGGTGTGTCAGAAAGATAATCACATCACGACATGATTAACAAACCTAAGCTCAGCAGATTTTAATAACTTACCTTTTTAGTAAGAAAACAAGATTTATGGATGTCAACTTCTTTATTGTGAATAACACGACATTTCGGAGCATATGCTTGCTCCTTCATCAGGTGAAAATCAAGTCACAGTAAAGCAGTTGTCATCCATAAATCTTGCTTTTTGTATGCATTCCACTTCTAAATGCCCATCAAAGATTTAACTTACTTCTAGAGTCTTCTTTAGGAGGCATAAAAACTTGCAACTTGGTTTTCCTTCCAGAGGCTGTCTAAACTACCCTGACTCACTCATCAATTAACAAGGGATTGGGTCCTTGGGCATGCAGAGAAAAATCATTTACCATCACCCACCAGTTATCTCCCCTTGTGGACATTTCCAAACTTGTAAATGTTTTGAAATCTCATCTTTCCAAAATTGGAAATGTCTTGGAAACATCATCTTTCCCAGACATTTCCAAGCTTGTAAATGTGGACTTTTTTCCAGTGATAGGAACTGCAAACTGTTTATCCCATAAAACATTAGTGTCCACCATGTTTTGTTCCATATGTCCACATGTCAATAGCATTCTGATGAGTGCCAACAATTCTGTCTTGTCTGTATCTTTTCAGGCTGAATCGCCTGTCCCCTTGTCTGCCATTGCTTTCATTCCTTGAATGTTAGTCAATGTTACAATGGTGTCCACCATGTTTCCTGTAATATACTTTGTGAATATGTCTTCTCCATTGACAACGTTGCCAGTATTGATTACCCTTTAAATTCGACCATAGATGATATTTCATTGAGGACTAGGACTCGATCCAGGAAGGATTTCGATCATGTTCCTCCGTCTTATCAAACATACAATTATTGGTCTTCTGAATGAGACGATGCATTGAATCATCAGCAGATATTTCTGTAGATTCAGAATCTGCCGAGTAATCATCGGAAGAGCCCAAAGGATCAAAATCACTATCGCAAGAAACTCTCGTCAGAAAGGAGATGGTGATGACCTAGGGTCAGGTTATGACGGACTACTTTCCTGATTAAAATTCATTGATAAGTTACTTGGGCTTCAATCGAACTGAAACCTGTTACTCGTGCAAAAAATTACCCCTTTACACCTACCTGTTATTTTCACAACTGTAACATAAACAGGTATGTATACAATGAAACACAATTAGAATAAATATAACACGAATCTATAATTTTTCTAATTCCTTTTATCAACACTTTAGATTTCCAGCCATGAATTCAAAATGGCTCGAACAATCAGCAATACCTTTGTAAACAATTATGTGAAAATCGCCGTTAGAAATTAAGACCAGGATTCTATTCGAATATTCAAAATGTACAACATTGGTACTTTTACTGGAGAGATGCGCAAGTGTCATGTATCGTCTTGCAAAAATACCTGACACGATAACGTCAGTGCCTGTCCATTGTGAGATCGAATGTTTCTCTGATGCATTGATGAAGGTGACATTTTTCACTGATACAGTATGATGAAGACCCACTTCCAACGCCGAGCTACTATGTGATTCAAATGCACTCATGACAAACAGAACAAAAACACACTCGTTGAAACAATGTATCAACATGGAACGTTTTGCTAGGCTTCACGAGTGCAAATGGCGGCACACGTCCTTTCTATTCAATCGAACATGTACAGGAACGGTTGATCTACACAAAAGTCATTGCTCAAGATATTCCTCCGACGCATGATAATGCAAAGTTTATGTCTTGATAACATACAGGATGTAATCAACTCACATTTCTGACAACTCCGTAAATTCCGTTACATTCCAAGTGGCAGTTTCTGGCTCGGGAAAGCGAGAAGGATGTGGCGAAGATGAGTAGTCCCCCATTGATAGTGAACGTAACCTCAGCAATGTCACATTCAAGCACACTGGTCGCACCTAATTGCTCACACTCAATCTTCCGATGACGACAACCACCAAGCGATAACGATGACGTCACACGCTCAAATATTTTTTGCTTGCAAGAATATAAATCATCCACATTTGCATGGTAACATCATCGTTTTAGAGAGTTTAATTAACTTTCTGTGTTTATCTAGTTTTCATTGTCACTATTGCCTTAATGATGCGAAGAGGTGGCTGAAACCTTTTTGTGGAGGGTCACCATGGGGGTGAGTAGTGATTAGGAAGCCAAGTGACGTCACTCATTCATAAACGTTGTGTTGTGTATTATTGCTCAACTACGATGAGAAAATATGAAATTTGAATCTATTCGACCATAAAATGGTGCGATTTTATGGTGTGTAAGAAACAGATTACTGTACTCGTGTCTGTGAGATACCATTTATCTTACAACTTGTTGTTTCGAAACGTATGTAACTCGCTTTCGCTCGTGAAATACGTTTTAAAAACAACTCGTGGTAAGATAAATGGTTTTGACAGACCCTCGTTTAGTAATCTCTATTTATTTCCTGGAATACCAGAAATACCAGTAGAAGACCCAAGAGAGATCGTGAAAACATTTACTTAAAAAGATCTCAAATGTACAAGATATATTTATCTACAAGCAAGGGTCCCTAGAGTGGTGATCTACCTTCAGTTGTTGGCGATCCTCAGCCTTATTTGATATTGTATTGTCCTAATTTGAAATCCTATTTTAGAGATATACGCTAGTTTTATTTCCTATTACTGTGATATCCTAGTTGGTTTTATTGTCCTTTGTCGACCGTTTGTTTAAGTTGGCGCATTTGTCATGAATTTATAGCCGTCGTACGTCACGATATGGCTGAAATACTGCCGCTTTGACTATAAACTTTAACTCACTCGTCTACAAGCGTCATTTTCAAAGAGCTTCAAAAACCTTAATTTCAGTGTCAGAGTATTACTGATAGAGAGAAAGCGGGCACATGCATCCGTGTACGTCAGGAGCACAGATGTTACAGTCCTGGGGGCCCTTTCATGAAGCTACCTCTACTAACCTTAACTCACATTGTTTAACATTAACGTTATATTTTTGGCGCACTGTCAATCGGTTTCATGGCGATTAATGGGATCAAAGGTTCAGCTCGGCGGGAATTTTGACACACTACACCGTACGATAACTATATGACGCTACTCACCACGTGACAAGTGACAATTGTTTTCTTGGTCAGAGGAAATATCCACAAAACTGACACAGAAAAAACCTCAAACAATCGTCATGTTGTTAACAATGTTTGAAACTTGTCCTACTGTAAGACGAACAATATGACTGGTTTACAATAGATAGCAACTGACCTTCTATTGGCCAAAGCCACATTCCCACGAGCTCCTTACAGATGCAAATGTCTTTATTTTCCCAGCAATGTATAGAGCTCCCAACTAGTCTGGTGTTTGCTAAAAACAAAAAAACGCTCATTGAACGATATTTGTTTGTCAGTCTTATATAATCATCGTGCTTCTCGAGGCGTTATATGTTGTTGTAGTCTGCATCAACTGTTAATTTTGAAGCTATTCGCTTTCATTAGATGTTTACAAATAACCCCTAACTTTCAACGTATGTTCTAGATCGACTTAATCTAATCTGTCTCACAGTCCCTGAACCATATTATAGCCCTCCCTGTAATGCTAAAGCTCTAAACGAAGCAAGTCTAGGTTTGATCCTGTTGTGTATTTCCCATCTGACTGGGGCTCCTTTTCAAATTAAATGGGTTTATTTGTTAGTATCAAAAGTATATACATTCTGAGACTAAGCGGTAGTCTTAGCACTAGACTCTACTTACATATGTATCTAATTTACTAATCGCATTCACTTTAACCCCATGCGAAAAAAACTGGTTATAAAAAAGTAAAACAGACTTTACTTATATTGTTCAGTTATTTCAAAACATAATTATCTGCAGCCGTCAGTAAAAATGAAATTACATAAATTTAAATTAAACACAAAAGGCAATAATATGATAATCGTCTGATTATCTAGTTTACCCCTTCCATTGATCCCTACGGACCCGAGTTTTGTAGGCTGCCTAAGTGACTTACGATCACCTTAGTGATTTGTGAAGGGAAGTCCTGACGTCTCGCGGAGTGTACCGTGTCAGTTTCAACCACGTGAAGTCCGTGCACTACCGTCGCTACGACTTACGACGGCCGACAAGCTGATGGTAAAGCGGCCTAAGCCGGGTTATAATACTTGGACAGACTGTACACAGGTGGGATGGCCTGTGATGATGTGATACCGATGTGGATTGGAAAGTTTTGACAGACTGTACACGAATTGATTGCCGGGGTAGTGACTGTTCGTGATCAAATTTAAAGTCAAGGAAAGAGGTCCTTCCGTTCCCCTATATTCTTTCTTCCGCAAGTTAACAGAGGTAACAATATATTCATACGTTGTACATACGTCCAAAATGCCAATAAAGTCCACCTTTTAATAAGCTTTCAGTCAGCAGGTTCGGTACAACCCCCGAACGGGTACTTGAACCCGTTCGGGAACTAACACCCCGATCGGGATAATAAACCCGTCCAGAAAGCGCATAAAACCCGCAAATTACCCTCGCCTAGCGTCAGTACACAACGGCGCAATCTGAGGCGTGTTCAGAACCGCGAGCGCCCGCACGATTGCCTCCCGCGAACGCTCGCATAGGCCCTGAACGGACACGAGCGCTCGGTGACAACAAACAAAATGGCGGCGCATCTGGAAGAAGAGTGTGTGTTGGAAGTAGCGATAAGCGAACTATCTGAACCGATGGATACATCATATTGTGATAATGCTGTGTCTGCTGCATTAACCATTTGGGAAAACAACGCTGTGATGAGACATGAGAAGCTCCTTGGAACCAACCGTATTGAAAATTACGTAGAAGAAACGGTGCCCCGTTACAGCGATCCTCTGTTTCGAGCCCACTTCAGGATGACGAGAGCATCCTTTCAGGTAAATAAGTTACTGACTGAATACATGCATGCCTGTGAGCTCCAGTGTGTCCCTGATAACAAATCGATCTGAATGGGCTGCTGTGTGTGAGGGCCGCAAATCTTAATACGAAATCATGTTTTTTGTTTTGTTTGCGGCAACTGTTGCCACGATTGACAAAATGTATTCATGTGAGGAAATGTCTGTTCATTGCATGATACAAATTGATATCGATATGTTTGAGGTCAATGTTCATGTCGACATTGATGAAATATGTACGATAATGATACACAATATGAACCATTTGAGCCAAGTACCGATAATCCACATCCCTGCATTTGTGTCATTGCTTGCAAAGAAATTTGAACAAACACATGCTGTCTGTGACAGTGTTCGAAAGCATGATACATAAATTTAATTATGCGCTTCATGTAAAACAACATGTTGTTACTATGAAATAATTTTTCTGTGCTCAGGACTTGCTGGAACTCATTGGACCGCACACTGAAGTCAAAACCATCAGTCTGGAGAGGAGAACGCTGGCTTGCCTCTGGTATGTCAGCAATCAAGAGACCTTCCGAAGTGTCGTGGATCGTATTGGCATGAGCAAGGGTTCTTTACGGTACTACCTGATGAACCTCTGTAGGACAATGACCAGTGAAGATATTCTACCCAGGCAAATTACATGGCCTCGGAAAGAGGAATATAGAGCCATTGCTGAACAGAATGCTGTAAAATATGGATTTCCTGGAGCCATTGGTTGTCTTGATGGAACATACATTCCCATTCCAGGACCTCGTGATTTCAGAGACTCCTACATATGCAGAAAAGGATTTCCCGCATTTCATTTACAGGGGTGTGTGACAACAAACTCAAATTTTTGGATGTATTTGCTGCATATCCTGGATCTGTACACGACTCTCGTGTGTTCAAAAACTCTCCAATAGCAAATTTATTGGCGAATGAACCATTACCCGAGGAGTATCACCTTCTTGGTGATTCTGCATATGCCTTGTCAACTTATTTGCTTGTGCCGTATAGGGACAACGGCCACCTGACTGCCGACGAGAAGAGGTACAATTCAGTTCACAGCTCAACAAGAGTCGATATCGAATGGTGTTTCGGACTACTGAAGGGCAGATTTCGCAAACTGAAATATTTGGACATGAGGAACGTCCGAGAAATCCCATTAGTCATTGTGACATGCTGTGTCCTGCATAACTTTGTAATCAACAGGGAGTCATTTGTGGATGAGGACATTGATGTGGATGGGACGGACACTGATGGCACAACAGGAACTTCACCCAGTGAGCACCAGTCGGGTGTGAACAAAAGACAACAGATAACACAACTGCTGTCATAGACTGATAATGTCCACAGCAGATGGAAAAGACACATGTACATTTATAAAAACATTTGTGAAATACATAACGATGGCCACTGAATGTCCATGCATGACGAGTACTGATTTCTTGAAATGTCAAAATGAATAAAAGAATGACTGAACAAGGTACATGTGCAATGATGATGACTTTATTTATGTTTTTCTTTCAAGAACTGCGCAATACTCTCCAACGCCACCACCCTCCTAGTCTCTAGCTCCATCCTCTCCTGATGCATGGTGAGGAGGTCTCTCCTCAGAGCAGTGATTGCTGACTCCATCCTGTCACCGGATGAGGATCTCCTCCGTCTAGGAGCTGCAGTAGCTGGGGGTTCTTCTGCCACTGTTTCCCCATCCACACTACTCCTCTCCTGTGTATGTGTGGTGGGCAAGCTACCAACAGGAGCAAGTGGCTCCACTGCAGGGTCGCCCTGTGTGAGATGGTCCATTAGTGAGAAATAGCGCCATGTTGATCGGCCACTCCCAGTTGTCTTATTGCGCCCCACAATGGTCCGGTGTCTGGACATTAAAATTATGTCATTAATGTGAGAGGAATATCAAAATGAATGGCAAATGCAAGCTCATAATTAGTCCAGTTCCGTTCTATTGTGTCAATCTCTGATAAGTCAATATTCTTGATGGTGATAGAAATCAACCAACAATGAGAAAAGTGCATTTGGATGAGTCGTAGTCAGTATACGCTTCCAATTGTATGTAAGTGAAGCATGTAGTGTGCTAACAACATGGCATTGAACAGATGAAAGCATCATCCCGTTCTGTTTTGTTGTTACTGTATTTTCATAGATCCATCATGTCGGATGTCTCAATATGTGGAGGCACCCGTGAAGGGCCACCTCCTCGTGGTGGGTGCTGGGTCACGCTAAGAGCCATTCAACCCCCTGTAGTGGACCCGGGGGGATATTTGGTCCACCAACCTGTTTGCCGTGGGTTGCGCCCCTGTGTCGGTGGAGGACGGGAGGCTGGTGGTTGAGGGCACTGGAACCAGGACCAGGTGTTCCTGTTGCCCAACACACCACTTTGCCCCTTACTTCACCTAGACGGGTGGTAGAACTGGCCCGGTTCTACCAATCGGCTGGTCACGCCGTGCCCTGTGCATGGTAAGGAGTTTTGCACATTTTTCTGTGATTATGTGGTTTGGCTTTTCCGAATTCTATTGAACAAATTGTTGAAATATTACACTGCCTAGAGTCCCATGCCAGAAGGCGGTGGCTCATGGGCCAATCTGGCTATAAAGACCTCTGAAATCTATATTTCTTGGGAATAGTGTTATGGGCCGAACCAGCCTGACACATATTCTTTTAGATCTCATAGCTTTTCACGTCTATATTTGCTGGAGTATAACATCTCTGTATCCCTGTTGTTGCAAGCTGGCTTCCACTGCGACATCGTCCTTGTTGACACTCCGTGGCGGGTGGGGAGCAGGGATGCTGAATTATATTACCACACCATGTCTCAAACAAATTCTTCTGGTTCTAGCAAGACAAATAAACGTCGTCATGTAGACTCTTCTTCATCCGATGAAGATGTTCCTTCTGACATTACAGATGCTTGGCCTCGGTTCATTGTGATATCATCTTCGGATGGAAACCCATTGAAATTAAATCCATTTACTATCTCCAAAGGCATTCAAAGTGCCTGCGGAGAAGTGAAAAATGTAACACGCCTTCGAAACGGTTCCATTTTAGTGGAATGTGTAAGGAGGCAGCAATCTGTCAATCTGCTTGGTTTACAGCAGTTTGTTAATACACAGGTTGTTGTTTCAGTGCACAAGACACTGAACTCGAGCAGAGGCATTGTAAGGGATCTAGTTCGTTGTCTGACTGACATGAGCGAGGAAGAGATAGCTGCAGAACTGAAAAACCAAGGAGTAACACAGGTCAAACGTTTCACAAGGAAAACTCAAGATGGCAATATTGTGAAAACGCATACTTATCTATTTACCTTTTCTTTCCCAGTTATACCAAAATGTATCAAAGCAGGATACTTCAATATCGGCGTGGATGTTTATGTACCACATCTACTTCGATGCTTCAAATGTCAAAAGTTTGGTCATGGGGCCAAGTTCTGTCGTGGCAAGGAGGCAGTATGTTGCCGTTGCAGTGGAGCACATGACAGCTCCGAGTGCACACATGATTTGAAATGTGCTAACTGCAAAGGTCTTGTCCAACTTTTGAATATGAGTCAAAAATCTTGAAAATAAAGCATACCAAAAACATCACATACTCAGAAGCCAAATTACTTGTCCAATCTACAGCAGCTCCGTCTTCTTCAGTTAAAACTTACTCGGCAGCAATTTCTTCCTCAACTCCACCCCTAGAATTGTTACTTCTTCAATATCGTGCCAGACTGACAACTCGTGGGTCAAGGATAAACAGGTTATCCTTGATGTCTCCCCCCAGAGAAATCAGTCAGTTTCTACATCTTCGTCTCAGACTGAACCAGAAACTGAGCCTGACACAGTAAAGTTAACTGCCAAAGAAAAAAAAAGAGACTAAAAAGATCAGAGCACTCCAGAATGTTGAATCTTCTCATGTTTCCTCTCTTGAGGTTCATAATACATATGAGATACTGGAAGATATGGATATCTCCCTCATCCGCGTGCACGCGACAGAAGCAAGTCGCCTCGGACTGGAAAAGTAGATCCCCAGTACTGCCACCATCAACATGAGTTATAACTCTTTAATTCAGTGGAATTGTAGAGGTCTGAAAAATAATTTCAATGAGATACACTTACTGATACAGGATTTTCGACCGGCAGCATTATGTCTTCAGGAGACATATATAAAGTCTACAGACACTTTTAATTTACGACAATATATTGATTATCACTGTTTCTCTCCTCAAGGAGAAAGAGCAACTGGAGGTGCTTCAATTTTGGTACGGCAGGGTATTATCCATAGCCCTGTTTCCCTTCATACCAATCTCCAGGCTGTCGCTGTTCGTCTGACTTTGAGCATTGCCTTAACACTGTGCAGTTTGTATATCCCCCCTTCTTCTACTATTCAACAATCAGATCTTCAAAACCTGTATGATCAACTTCCGAAGCCATGCCTCATCATGGGCAATCTTAACGGACACAACCCGCTTTGGGGAAGTGCCCACATTAATACTAAAGGTAAAATCCTTGAGGAATTAATTTCCGATAACAATTTATGTATTTTCAATGACGACTCAGCCACTTACCTACATCCAGCTACGGGAACATATTCTTCCCTGGATCTGTCACTCACCGACTCAACGTTATATAATGAATTTGAATGGATGGTCCATGATGACCTGTGTGGGAGTGATCATTTCCCAACCATTCTCAAAACAATTAACCCTGGTGATGATCCACCTTTATCAAGAAGGAACTTCGCCAGGGCTGATTGGTCATTGTATGAGACTCTGTGTGTTGAACGCTTGAAGTATGACCTATTTCAGAACATTGAAGATCCTATACAGCTGTTTTCCGATATGCTCAATGACATTGCTGACCACACTATCCCCAAGTCCTCTGCAATTCCACATATTCGTAAACCATGGTTTACTAATGAGTGTAAACAGGCCAGAAAAAGTAGGAAGAAAGCGGAAAAGTTTTTTCGCAAACATCCTACTGTCCATAATTTAGACAAAGTTAAAATTTTAAATGCCAAGGCTCGACGCGCATTTAAACAGAATAAGCGTCAGTCTTGGAGGAACTATGTTTCCAAAATAAATTCACGTACACCTATGTCCAATGTGTGGAACATGGTCCAAAGAATAAAGGGCAAAGGTTCTAAATCTACTGTGCACCATCTGAAGGATGGCGATAGACTCTTAACTCATAAAACTGACATAGCAAATAAACTTGGCGAAACGCTTGCCAAACATTCTTCATCATCAAATTATGTCCCTGAGTTTCAAAAACACCAGAAACAACAGGAGAAGAAAAGAATCAATTTTAACTCCGACAATGGTGAAGATTATAATGAATTATTTTCACTCCATGAGCTACATACCGCTCTTGAGCAAGCTCATGATACAACTACAGGGGCTGATGATGTCCACTATCAGCTCCTAAAGCATTTGCCCGAATCGTGTTTGGAAACACTGCTCAATATATTTGATATGATATGGACTACAGGGAATTTCCCAACTTCCTGGCGTAATGCCATTGTAGTCCCCATTCCAAAACCTGGCAAGGATCATACTGATCCGTCTAATTACAGACCAATCTCTTTAACGAGTTGTGTCTGTAAAACCATGGAACGAATGGTAAACAATCGATTAACATGGTATCTTGAAACCAATAACCTCATTACAAATATTCAATGTGGTTTTAGGAAAAATCGTAGTACCATTGATCATTTGGTACGTTTAGAATCCTTTGTCAAAAATGCAATAGTAAATAAACAACATGCTGTATCGATATTCTTTGATCTCGAGAAAGCGTACGATACCACCTGGAAGCATGGCATTTTAAAGGATTTACATGATTTTGGTTTAAGGGGTCGTTTACCTCTTTTTATTTCACAGTTTTTAAAAGACAGTCAATTTCAAGTCCGAGTGGGTTCAACCCTGTCTAACCATTATAATCAGGATCAGGGTGTCCCTCAAGGCAGTATTTTGTCTGTCACTTTATTTAGTATCAAGATTAACAGTTTATCCAAGGTTTTAAATGATTCAATTGATGGATCACTTTTTGTGGATGATTTTAATATTTCTTGTCGCGGTAAGAATATGCATACCATTGAACGGCAACTACAGTTGTGTTTAAAACAAAATAAATAAATGGTGTCTTGAAAACGGCTTTAAATTTTCTAAATCAAAACTAATTGCATACATTTCTGCCGTAAATATAAACCACATAAAGACCCAGAACTGTTTTAAATGGCACTCCCATCAAGGTTGTCAAAGAGGCCAAGTTCTTAGGTCTCATTTTCGACTCCCATTTAACTTTTCTTCCGCATATCAAATCCCTGAAAACTAAATGCCTGAAGGCACTCGATTTATTGAAAGTCGTGTCTAATTCAAGGTGGGGAGGGGATCAAGCTACGCTCCTACACCTTTACAGATCACTTGTCCGCTCGAAGCTTGATTACGGCTCTATCGTATATGGTGGGGCCTGTAAAAGCAACCTCAAACTACTTGATTCTATCCATCACCAGGGTCTAAGACTTTGTCTTGGGTCTTTCAGAACCTCTCCCATTGACAGTCTCTACGTTGAGGCCGATGAGCCATCTTTAAAACTCCGCCGTATCAAATTGTCCCTACAATATATCACAAAGTTATATTCTAATGAATCCAATCCTGCTCACACTTGCGTTTTTAATCCTCTTTATGAGGACTTGTATAATAAAAAACCTTCACTTGTCCCACCTCTTGGGATAAGAATCCAACAATATATTTCTGCTGCTGGCATTGAGTTGGAGAATATATCTCCTTCCCGTCTTCTTTCTTCTCCTCCTTGGCAATTGGTTAGGCCACAAGTCGACCTAACACTCACTAAATTTAAAAAATCAGAAACTAATGACTTACAATATAAACAAGAATATAATCAATTAAAGAATAACTATAATACATATAAATCCTTATTTCCAGATGGGTCCAAGGATGGTGGCGCGGTTGCTTGTGCCACTGTCATTGGGTCCAGAACAATATCTTCCAGATTACCCAATGACAGTTCAATTTTCACAGCTGAAGCAAACGCAATCCTTACAGCTCTCAAATATATAAATAGACACCCTAAATATAAACAATACATAATCTTTTCTGACTCTCTGTCTTGCCTTCAGGCGATTAAAAATATTTCTTGTAAACATCCACTTTTAATAGAAATTATAGAATTATATAATGATCTTGCAACTGGCCAATGCGAGATCGTCCTCTGTTGGTTACCCAGTCACGTTGGTATTTCTGGGAATACAATGGCCGATCTTGCTGCAAAGGCAGCACTCAACAAATCTGTGACACCACTTCTTATTCCTTACTCTGATTACAAAGCAAGCATTAGAACCTACATCCGTGATCTGATGCAGAAGAAGTGGGACACCGAAGTAGGTATCAATAAATTACATGAAATAAAACCCTATATTGGTTACACCTACTTGGGTTGTCAGTCCAGATTTGAAGAGGTCATCATACGACGATGTCGTATTGGCCACACTAGATATACTCATGAGTACCTATTAAAAGGTGAGGATCCTCCGTTTTGTATCCCTTGTGATGAAAGAATCACGGTCAAGCATGTCCTGCTTGACTGTGTTGAATATTCCATCACAAGGGATATTTATTTCAAAGTAAAAACTATGAAGGATCTTTTTAGTCATATAAGTTCTCATTTAATTATTGCCTTTTTAAAAAAATTAGACTTGCTAACTGATTTGTAAATAGATATATATTTTATTATTGGTAGTTTAAATTAGTAACTGAGATTGTTAGTGGCTGTACCCTCAAGGGGGTTGAAGTAGCGTAAAATGATTGTCCTCCTGAGAGGGTACGTAAGTCCCAAAACATTTAGTCAATTTAAGTGTACCAGGTTTTTAATCGTAGAATATGTGTACTTTTAATTTATGGCTAGGTTTCTCTTCTGTTGCCAATGGCTGAAGGGATGGTGTAAATCCAGCTAGGGTCCATGCAGGAAGCAAATGTACTGTAAGTCCCCATGGTCCCTAGTATGGTGATCTACCTTCAGTTGTTGGCGATCTATTGCCTATTTTTATATTGTGCTGTCCCCTAAAGTTAAAATGTTTTAGATTTAATTACTAGTTTTACATGTATATCTGTGATATTCTAGTTGTTTTACTGTCCTTCGTCGGCAGGTTTTTATGATATCTGCATATATATTCTCTTTAAATGTCAAATGTTCTCGTCACGATATGGCTGAAATATTGCCGATGTGACGTTAAATATTAACTCACTCACTCACTCAATATGTGGATAAGAATAGATTTGTTGTGTTCCCAACATTAACAAGTGTATGCCTCTTCAGTGAGCATATATTGACATTGGAAATTCAGCTCTAATGCTGCATCTAGTGCATGATTTAAAATACCTTGACTTCATGCTGCGGAATTTCCTGTCACATTCAGGTCCTGTGAAGTGAAAGCCCTTTTCACTCATCCGATCTGCAACAGATTTCCATGCCTGCTTCATGGACACTGTAGTGCTGCTGAAGAGGTGTTGCAGTCTCTGTCTCAGATCTATGAGGAGCAGAACTGCTGCATGGCTCCAGTATACTGGAAATGCAGAACCCATTCACCATCATAACATTGCAAAAGCTGTCAAACATACATTTCTGCATACAAAGGAAACCTATTGCCAGAAGCAATTAATGTGTTCTGTGGGAGAAATAAGAGTCATTGAGAGACAGTAGGATTTGTGTAGATGTACATCTCCTGTTAGAGTCATGAGTTACTAACATAACAATAATATGCACTCGACATATTCTTTAAACATTTTATTTCATCTACATATGCCACAGAGGAGCCCAGATGACACGGAACTGTTGCATATCCACAAGACTGGATAATCATGTTCGTACAATTCCGTGGTAATGATGGTGGTAATGTACAACACAATCCTCTTACGTTTTTGTTCAGTCTCTGTCCCAGCCTGTGACTGCAGATCATCTGTAATGGTTAAAGATTAGTCACAAATTACTCAAGTCATCAACAAATATACATTCCAAGTACAGGAAGGATCAATGAAAGGATGCCAAATCACTCATATGTTGTTATTGTTTTATTGAATTCTTCAATACAGACTCACACTGACCGCATGTGACTTGGTACTAAAACAGACAAAAGACTATCATATCAATCGGCTTATGGAATGCAACTCAAACGTGTATGAACTGAATACACATGTTCTGCACTGCCCTTTGATTCAATTAACATACCTTCATCCCCTTCCTCTCTTGCATGGTCTGTAATGAAGCAGTGAGGTTTAAAAAAGAGGTGTAATCATTGTCAATTCAAAAGCTAAATGAAAATATGAGAATGATGTTATGTTTGAAAACGTCATCAACACGTAGACAAAGTCATCAATATCCCCCGCACCAGTGGCAACTGCGACATGACAACACAATATTTCTCCTCAACAAAAAAACATTCCCCGCTCCTTCGTTGTTAATACAAGATTGACACAAGTGTTACATAATGTACATACATAGCTGTCAATGTTGCAGTGGTGAGATACACAGACATGTGTTGATAAACGTGTTGTATCACATTGGGTAAAGGGCTTCACTCACCATATGCCTCTGTTCACACAGCAGTGAATGGGTACCCAAGAGGCAGAGTGGGCGATGTAATGATGATCATATTCATATAGAGTTATTTGTCACATTATTACGGGGCATGCTCAAAGTGCATTCCACAACCTCACTTCCCCAGTGACTTCAACTATTGGTACTACAAATATTATATGGTGGTCCTGTGTGCCGGAGGAGTTGAGGAGGCCCTTGGTGGTGGTGCAGAGGAGGTGCTGGGTGCTTCGGTGTTGCAACATCTGGATGTCCTCAGTTTTTTGATGATTGGTAGCATCTCTGGTTCCAGCGTTGGTGTGGACGCTCTTGATTCTGTCCCTACAAGGACATAGCAGTATTCACCGATGGAACCATTCAGAAATGATTTACGTTTCCGCTTGCCTTTTCTCTATAACACTCCTAAGATCATTCACTAGTGTTACTTGCGTGGATATCGCAATACAACTAACTCACCCTTGGGAAGTGCAGCCACACCAATCTCCATGAATCTGACTTTCTCCTGCGCAGTGAGGTGATTGGGCGCAACTGCACCCAGTGTACCGAGAACATCGTCATCAACATCTCGGCTATAGGCAGCCTGAGACAGTTGATCAAAGGTGGCATGTTTGCCTAAGGCAACTCCACTGCCCTTGGCCATGGCTGACCATGTCTGTAGCAGCCCGAGGTCTGCTAAGACTTGCAGTGACTGCGTCAGTACTGCAACAAATACATATATATATATGTAAATCAATACTTTTGAATTGTGGGATCAGACAGTAGACAATGTAGCAACCTTGTATGCATTTCTGACAGTTGACATTATGTACACAGTTATCACACATCACATTTCAATACGCACAGATGTCAAATCATTATTTACTCACACAATTTTTTGCATCCTGTCTCATTCACTGGATAGATTCTCTGGAGGTAATTGTAGATGGCAGCTGAAGTGCCTGGACGTAGTGAAAACCATACCAATGTCTTAGCAATTACCAATTATTGGACATTGTTATGGACCACAGAATCTTCTGTAAATTCATTATTCACAATTTCACATCTTTTCATCACAGATATGAAGAGAAGGGTTCCTTCACTTCCCCCAACCCTACACCTGCCTCTCAACTTAACGCTAAACCTAACCCTCAACTTAAACCTTACCCTAACTTCAATATTGGACTTTTATTCATTTTGTGAGTTCTCTAGTAATTGTTGTGTTCAGTTTTGTTCATAATTTTAGTATATTTATAAATATTATTTGGGATGTGGGAACGGGAACTCTTACCAATGTGTACATTCATAATGTTTTCTTCATAGCCTGTACATATGACATGGACATTTTAAACCCTTAATGCACAATCATAAATTGTAGCTGTCAACGAGCTGCAACATTAAACATTGAAGATGCTGTATTAATGCAGTGTCCTTCACTTGTGACAGTGGGAGGCAATGACCACGCGTGTGAGGTGACGCGTTTGCTCAGGATTCCATCATAGCACAGCCTCATAACATCCACTGCGTGACTGTTTCACGGTTGAACAGTTCGCTTACCAGTGTCGGCATAGATCCTCAGTGACGTGGGAACGAACAGAGTGTAACGTTTTGTGCCTGCGGGGTTTTGCAGCACCACCTCTTCTACCGTTTCCGTGTTGGTCGCCATCTTGGTTCGCTTGGCGAGGCAGCTGTGGGGATGGCTCGCGTGCGCGCACGGGCGCTCGCACGGTCACAGGCGTTCAGGATCGAGCGCTCGCGAGCGATCGCGGGCGCTCGCGGTTCTGAACACGCCTCTGGTGAGTGGTTATATTTGTCAATGAAACCGCCAACGAGGCTACGGTGGTACACGTGTGACCAAACAATTCCGCATTTGGGGCGCTAACCCCCCTAACCTAGGCTTCCTAATGACGTCACGGGATTCCCCGTCTCGCTATGAGCGGGCTTTACAAGTTGGAAAATGGCATAAAATAAAAGCTGCAATGCGTTGTAAACGTGCACTTATTCCACAAATAAACAATCTTCATAAACAATAATAGCAATACTTAACAGAATTATTACGAAATCAGCTCTGCCAAGCGGCACAATACATGTTAGTTGGATCCAAATGCACAGCGACCATCCCAAGCCTCTCCCGACTCGGCTGTGATGGCTGCCGTTTGTGCTGATCGGTCATTCACATCGGCTCCACTTATTATTGCAGGCGGAATTATTCTTATTGACTACATTAATTTTAATTGCACGAAAAAAGTAATAATTGTTATAACTTCCGAAAAAGTCACTTTATCATCATGTAGCTTGACTTAAGTGTATTTTTAGATTATTTTCTCGATGTCGGGTCGAGTCAAAACTTGCATGGAGACAATCTTGAAGATAAAGGCATTTGAGAAATACAGCGGTAATAAAATATGAGGATCGCACGTAACACTGAATTTTTGGGATGTGTAAATAATAACGGCTGTAATTAATTAACAGAATTCGACGAAACGACAATGATATGCCCGGTATTACTTTGCACGGGTATAAATAAAGTGTCACCACGAGTCGCACGAGACGAATACACGTTCAACATGTGCTTAAATACCGATGTAGAGCGCCTCATATCCGATCAGCAATAGCATGTGTGTATTGCATTGACTTTCAACAATTTATTCACATTTAGTAGTCCAATAAAAACCAGTTCAGATGCATTTTGATACATTATGAAAGTACCGTTATCTTATTTTGGGGGATAGATACGTTCATGTAAACATTGCGCTTCAAAGCAGTTTGTATCGAGGCCGAGTAACAGACAAGTTGTCAAGTTGAAATCGAAAGAGGTGTACGGAAATATTGGAGCTATTATGTTATATGAAATGGAAAATGTTTGTTGCGTTTTGAGGCTTCTTTGACCATCCCTGTACTATCTTGAAAACGATACACTTTGTGGCCCTTTACTGAAGTTTCTATTAATATATTTTCTGGAATTCCCCTTTTGAACGTTGTCAATAATATTGCTGTTACAAATACTAATATAGGTACACATAAAATTGTTACTACGAAAATAGAAGAAAATAATATTTTGTATTGTATTTACATATCACATGAAATTGACACAAATGTTTGAGAGATGATCCTGACACAATTGAATGTTTCACTGAACCTCAAGATCTCGACATCGCCGGAAAAGTCTTGAAAAATGAAGATATATCACATTTGACATGAATGTTTAGTTGTGATAAAAAAATGAAGTGTATTAAGTATTGAAAATACATGTGTTCATGATATATGTTTGTGAAGATAAGAATGTGTACTTACCTTGCTTCCCACTGCGTTAAAAATCAGACAGCCATGGCAAACTGGATGCACAACGACAGGTTTGTATGGTATTGTGCTACTTAAAGCAACTCTATGTTTACAGGGTGTATACGTATATATTTCATGCTTTGAATGTGATTGTATAAATGATTGCTTCTATGCATAAATACGTCACAGACCTTAGTATGGGTATGAAATGACATGTAGAGAGAGAGAGTGAGAGTGTGTGTGTGAGAGAGAGAGAGTGTGTGTGTGTGAGAGAGAGGGAGAAAGAAAGAGAGAGAGGACGAGCACTATGTTGTGATTACCCAATATATAACTTGAGGTTTGGTCTTCAGCAACACATGGATGTTTGTCGTAAGATGTGACTAACATGATAAAGTAGTCAGGTTCGCTCAGTTGGTTGTTACATGTCATCAGATCCACATTGCGTAGTACTTACGATGTCAGTCACTGGTTTGACTGGTCCCAACAAAATTATTTGTAGCCCCTTTCATATGGCTTCAATATTGCTGGGTGTTGTGTGAAACGACAAACATATTTAATGGGTTGGAAGGATTCGATGAAACACGGGCATGTGTATAGCTGAATGTATGATAACTCCTCTTCAAATTCATCTTCTTTCTCTTGTAAAATATGTTGTAATGTTATGTAGGAGCTTACATACAATACATGTATGGTATACTGCCATCAAGTATGTTATAATGTTATCTAGGAGGTTACATACAAAACATGTATGGTATACTGCCATCAAGTATGTTATAATGTTATCTAGGAGGTTACATACAATACATGTATGGTATACTGCCATCAAATATGTTGTAATGTTATGTAGGAGGTTACATACAATACATGTATGGTATACTGCCATCAAATATGTTGTAATGTTATGTAGGAGGTTACATACAATACATGTATGGTATACTGCCATCAAATATGTTGTAATGTTATGTAGGAGGTTACATACAATACATGTATGGTATACTGCCATCAAATATGTTATAATGTTATTTAGGAGGTTACATGCAATACATGTATGGTGTACAGCCATCAAGTATGTTATAATGTTATGTAGGAGGTTACATACAATACATGTATGGTATACTGCCATCAAATATGTTATAATGTTATCTAGGAGGTTACATACAATACATGTATGGTATACTGCCATCAAGTATGTTATAATGTTATCTAGGAGGTTACATACAATACATGTATGGTATACTGCCATAACATATGTAGCAACAGAAAACTGAACAGAAAACATTTAACCTTAACATTGTAGATGCATTTTCTGTTATTACTTTTCCAAAGTTGAAAAACTACAAATTAATGAAAACTTTTATTTTATGATAATTAAGGAAATTAGTACATAAACATACTGGTAACTGGTTTAGATAGAGAAATCACAAATATATGGGGCCATGGTAACATCATGTTATCTGTTTGGTAAATACATATTTAAACTATACTGAGATGGCATGATTTCAACTCTTACATTGTCTGCTTTTTTTGTTGCAAACAATGAGTTCATATTCCATTCTTTTGAGGTGGATAAGGAATGATTGCAATAACATAAGTTGTCCAGAAAGTAAGGGGATGTAACTCTAAATACTATTCTTCTGAGGTCACTGCGTAATGATGACCAAGTCATTCATTAATAGTTGTAAAGAAATATCATGTGTTAGTGAAGCAGACGACCCTCAGCTCCATGCAGTGGTGGACCATGGACTTCTTTGGGTAGAGTTTGGTGGTTTTTATTCTCCCTTAAACAGTACTTTAATATTCTACATACACATTCTCATTGTGTAATGAGCTGACAATAAATTTCAAGAAAACATAGGTTGTATTATTTTGGAACTTAGATCTCGTTTTGTCTACTTTTATGCGAGTGAATAAACTAACTATAACAGGCAGATACAAGAGTTACCTCCCTTCACGCAGATAACAGTTAATTCTCAACACCTTTCAAAGTCATTTTTAACGCAATGCATGTGTATTTTGATACATTTTTTTACATGAAACAGTTTTATGATGTTAGATCTGCTACAGGTTCTCAGATTATTCATCAGCAAGCAACATTACACATTCGTCTAGGATCCCTACCTAACCATAGGCCCCCTGTCAGAACTAATACACATTACAGTCGCAAAAAGAGTCAAATAAACAACAACATGATGTAATGTTACGAAAAATGCAAACATCACTCACCACGCTACATGTCTGGTCCGGAAGTGAACACCAAGCGCCCTCTGGTTGCCTGTGAAGGGCGATAAGCCAAACAGGACCGGCGCACCAGTCAAAAAGTATGGCAGCGCAGTAAAGACAAAACTGATGTCGCACATCAGCTGAACACAGTAGTCATATAGACAAAACAAAACAAGGAGAAGAAATTAAAAATGTTTAATGAATCCAGACATGTAACAAGTTAACTTGTTAACTTGTAAACATCACTTGAGAGTTAACCAATGCAAGTGGGAAAAAAGACATATAGGTGACACAAGAACTTGGTGGTGGTTGAGGGTGGCGTGCTGTTGGGGATGGGTGGAAGGGACTATGTACAGAAATATGGGTGGGAGGTGGGGTTTGGGGGTTGCCATCACATGCGACCATCTGCCCCCTCCCCCAAGCCATGTGTGTAAGGGACTGTGTACAGAAATAGAGGGGAGGGGGGTGTGTGTTATGAACAGACCCCGAAACCCCCGGCCATGGGTGGAAGGGACTATGTACAAAAATGGAAGGGGAGATGTGGGGGTATACACACAGTCCGAAAACCCCCTGCCTCCCCAGACATAGGTGCAAGGGTCGATGTAACGACAAGGGGGTGGGGGGTGGCACATCCATCGATCACAACACACCCCCACCCCCACAAACCATGGGTGACAGGGACTATGTACATAAACAGAGAAGGTTGGGTGGGGTGTGTGGTTTGACACAAAAAAGGAAATGAGAAAGCATCCCCACCCAAAAATATTAATTCACATTGTCACATTCTTCACATTGCAGGTCAAAAAATGCCACCAACGAAGAGATGTAGTTGTTCCAAACACCATGATTTTTTGAGTGATGACAATTACCACATTTACCAGATTAAATCCAGAAAATACTGCAAAGTTGTAATAGATACGCTGTCAGACAATGGATGGTTGAAGCCAAAATCAACATACTTATGTACGGCCTGTGCAGAATATACGGAACGCGAATTAATTGGCAAAATACCTACCGACCAGCATCATGTGGATGCATTAGAAACTGTGTTGCAAGGTCTTGCAGACAACATATACAGTGACAATATATCACAAAAATCATAACTGCAGTAGGATCATCACTCAGCGAGGATTTGAGTGAACATACAAAGGCCATTTCTGGACTATATACACAGACAGAGACGTATGAGGCTGATCTTGCCACCAACATATTGTCAAAATTGTCAGACAAACTC